CATCATCAGACTCCAGACCGGGGGGAGGACAGGTCACTGCCCCTTGCTCGCTCCGGAGCTGTTCTTTTAGTGCTATGGTGGTGGCGATGACTCTGTCCGGGGGTATGATAGAAGTAGTAACAGAGTTAGGAGTGCCATCGGAAATCCTGAAGAGAGAGTCAGCCTTGCCGTTCTTCGAACCAGGTCGGTATGTTATGATATAATCAAATCTATTGAAAAAAAGGCTCCAGCGTACTTGACGTGCGGACAACGTTCTGGTGGATTTTAGGTACTGAAGGTTTCGATGGTCCGAGTAGATGATAACTGGATGTACTGAACCCTCTAGTAAGTGTCTCCAGGTATCAAGTGCGTCTTTTATGGCGAGAAGTTCTTTTTCCCCTGATGGGATAGTTTCGTTCGGCAGGATTGAGTGTCCTGGAGTGAAAAGCTACTGGATGCATCGGAGAGGAAAGTGATTCTCTGTGACAGCACAGCACCCACAGCCGACTCAGAGGCATCGACCTCGAGGATGTATTGGAGAGAAGGATTTGGCAACTTTAGTATTGGAGCGGTGGTGAAGCGCCGTTTTAGCTCATCAAAGGCTACTTGGGACTCTTTTGTCCAGGCAAATCCCACCTTACTACTAGTGAGGTGGAGAGGGGTTTAACCATTCAGGAGAAACCCTTGATGAATTTCCTGTAAAAATTTGCGAATCCAAGAAAGCGTTGTAACGCTCTCCGGGAGTTTGGCACTGGCCAATGCAAGATGCATTCTATTTTGGAGATGTCCATCTGTATGCCCTCGGGGGAGATTATGTAACCCAGGAAAGGAACTGTCTGCTTTTCGAAAATGCATTTCTCCAGTTTAGCATAAAGCCGATGGCTCCTTAGCATGGACAGAACCCAACACGTGTTTGTGGTGGTCGTGTAGGTTGTCTGAGTAAATCAGGATGTCGTCTAAATAGATGACCACACAGATGTCGAGGAGATCCCTGAAGATGTCGTTAAAGAAGCATTGAAAAGTGGCCGAGGCCAGGGTCTCACGGAGCATTGCTTAATTCAAAAGGCATGACAGAGTATTCGAACAACCCGTAACGGGTCCTGAAAGCCGTTTTCCACTCGTCTCCTGCCCTCATACGGATTAAGTTGTAGGCCCCTTTTAAGTCTAGCTTAGTATAAACATGTGCCGTCTGGAGACGTTCGATGAGTTCTGGTATGAGCGGCAGAGGGTAGCGTTTTTTTATCGTAATGGCATTCAGTGCTCGGTAGTCTATGATTGGTCGGAGGGTGTTGTCCTTATTTCGGACGAAAAACATCCCCGCTGATCCATTTTGTAAGGTATACTCGCTATACTGTAATGTTCGTTCCGGGTTAGCTAATGCTATATGGATCTCAACTGTGGTGTTGAGGGTACGGGTATCAGAGTGGCAGCTGCACCTCGCTTTCCCCGTTTTTAGGAGAGGCTGAGAGGGAGCTGCCTCACATCATTCCCCGCTAGGGTGTGAAGGCTTGGTTACCACAGAGTGTGGTTCAAGCTGAAGTAAGCGAATGAGTCCGTGCACTGGGGGCATTTAACTCAGCAGGGGTTAATGACCAGCGATGGTGAGTATGCACAGCAGTGTTTGTTTAACCAGTAATGAGGAGTTTGCACAGCAGTGGAGATTAAGCCATCAATGAAGAGTATGCGCAGAAGTGATAATACAACAAGCAATGATGAGTAATTATAGTGTCCGGCCCCTCCCACTAACTTCCCACAGCTCACAGCCCAGAAGCATGGACAACCAGCGATGGTCTACAGTGGGTGAGAGTGCCTATGTACCAGACATAGAGTCGGTGGCGTTGGACTACATGTCGCAACCGCGGAGTGCAGATGCCATCTGCAATTAAATCGGCTCATCGGTGCCCAGCGGTTGCGACATGCAATGAAAATTATTAGTTCCCCCCCCCCAGATTTGACTGTTGTATCTTATGTGCCCCCCTACATATTGTTCCTAGATTCGCCACTTATAACAGAGAGCTAACACTGAGCCAGTCACATAATTCCTTGTATATCATTCTCCACTCTGCTCCGTTTGAGCACTGACACAGGAACGCTGCACTGGCAGCCTTCCTGTCACAGGAGAACGAGCAGAGTACTGTGCTAGAATGCGTGTATTGGAGGTGACAGGTACAATAAAGAGACCCTGTCACCTCCAAATGCTAACAGCTTGTAAGCCCCTGTGTGATAGCAATAAAGTTAAGTCGAAAAAATAGTCGAAAAAAGAATAAAATATATACACACAGTCATGTGCAAAAATATTGGCACCCCTGCATTTCTGCCAAATAATGCACCACTTTGTGCAGAAAACTGTTGCAATTACAAATGTTTAGGCATTCTTATGTTTATTTCTTTTGTTTGTATACGTATGGCACAAAAACGTTGAGGGAAAAAAAAAAACCAAGGCTGACACATTCTACGCAAAACTCCACAAATGGACTGGACAAAATTATTGGCACCTTCTCCAAATTGCAAGACTCCTGTAATTTGTAATTAAACTCACCAGTATCAATTAACAGGTGCTGACAATATAGAAATCACACTGGCAACCAGTTAAAATGGTAAAAAATTGACACAACCTTTCTGTTGTGTGTCTCGGAGCATGGAGAAGAGAAAGAGCAGCAAAGAATTGTCTGAGGGCTTGAGAACAAATATTGTGAAAAATCATTGATAATCTCAAGGTTACGAGTCCATATCCAGAGATCTCAGGGGTCTATTCACAAAGGAGCCAAAGGATCTCATTGGCCACCGGAGCCCTTCGGTTCAGTCAAACCGAAGAGCTGCTGTATGGGCTATTCACAATAGCCTGTACAGCACCCGAAGGCGGCCGGGCGGCTCAGCCAAAGCCGAAGTGTCTGCCGAAGCGGGGCGAATGGCCTGCCGAAGGGCCGGCCATAAGCCCCGCAAATGACAGCTGGTGATCTCACGGCTGGCTCCGCCCAGTTGCAGTGACAGATCAGCGTGAATAGGGGCGAACAGCAGCGAGTGAGTTGCCAGAGCTTCGGCTCAGCCGATCCAGATGTTGTAACGGCTGAGTCGAAGTTCTTCTGCAGAGCATGTTCGGCTGACCAAAGTGCAGCCGAAGGCAGCCGTTGTATGGCTGAAATCAGCCATACTGTGCCATACTGCGTAGCCGAAGGTTGTTCGGCTCACTTCACTACAGCTTGGTTATTCACTCAGCTTCACTCGGTTTGTGAATAACCCCCTTAATGTTCCTGTATACACTGTGTGCAACATTGTCAAGAAGTTTACACCCCATAGCCCTGTAGCTAATCTCACTAGACGCGGACGAAAGAGAATGAATCAATGATTGCAATGAAGGATTGTTCGAGTGGTGGATAAAGACTCTTTAGAGATAGGCAAACTCCAGCCCTCCAGTTGTTGTGAAACTACAAATGTCATCATGCCTCTATCCTTGGGAGTCATGTTTATGCAACGCCAATGCTCATGGTGTGAATGAGCCCTATCTGTCAGCTCAGGTACTTCGTGTATTTAATAAAGCAGGTTAAACAGCGATAGGTCTCAAGCGCACAGGCGTAATATTACTAATATCTTGGTAGAAAGATCCTGCGTACAAAAAAACCCCACAGGTGATGGTCCATGTGCGCACGGGCCCATAATATACAATACTGTTGTGTTCAAATCCACTAAAAAAAAAAAAAAAATTACGCTGCACGAATCTGAATGCAATTGGATATTTTTATGGCTGTGTGAAGGAGCCCTCTTGTGCAAAGTTCAGCAACCGACAGCAACCAGCTGTCTTCTCTTAACCGATCAGACTGCTGTAAAGTGAAACCTGGCCAGTTGCTATGGGTTACTGCCCCCCTGCGCATCTTTATTATTATTTATTATTAGTCCAAAGGTTAGCAGATGGAAATCAAGGCAGACATCACACTTCCATTCAGATCCTGTACATTCAGGGAGCACAGAGATGTGCTCTCCTTATATGGGCATATGGATGAGCTCCCCCATGGGTGCCCCCCATACCCTCATGCACAAGTTTAACCCCATCCTTCCCATGCCAAGTTGCATCCATGACACATGTCAGTGTAAGTTAGCATAGAGCTAAGACTATGCAAATTCCCCTCTGGAAAAATACCATCCCTGATTCCGATTGGATCAACCCTTTAAGGTGCACAGAGCCCATACTGCTGTTGCACATCAGAGTGCTCCTTTAAGTTGCACAGCAGTGTTAACCCTTTCCTTCCCTCCTCACCTCCTCACAAAAAACACAGCATAGTAATGCATAGCTAGATTACTGTTGGCTATTTCACTTTGCAATAGCCAATATCAGACTAGCTATTGCACCCGCCCACTGCTGCTGTCAATCAGCAGAGGGGGACCTGAAGTTCTCCAACAGGTCCTCATCTAGTGAATGACAGCAGAGGGCGGGTACAATAGCCAGCTTGCTATTGGATATTGCAAATGTGCAAATTCAGTTTGCAATAGCCAATAGCAAGCTGGCTATTGCACCTGCCGTCTGCGGCTGTCAATCAGCAGAGGAGAACCTGATGGAGAACTTCAGGTCCACCTCTGCTGAGTTAAAGCAGCAGTGGGCAGGTGCAATAGCTAGTCAGCTATTGCAAATTGAAATAGCCAATAGCATTCTACCTATTCATTTCTATGCTGCTTTTTTTTCTCTGACTGAGATAGCAGGGAAAGGTTTACTCCGGGAGAAAATGTTTCTCTCCCGGGCAACTGGGAGCCGCTATATAATAGCAGGAGACTCCCGGAACATCCGGGAGAGTTCAGATGTCTGCATGCATTTATAGACAACAGCACATGAAAGTGTATGGACGCTTACCATAGCCAAAGCATGCATGTATGTGCATTCACACTGATAATCCTGCAACACATGCGATGATCTCAATATGCTTGCAATAAACAAGACACTCTTCATGTATTTCCTCTAGCTATTATAAACTGGTTCATACTGCATATTTTGCTATGTAGTAAAGCCTCAATGGCTTTTATTATCTGCTTACCTCCTGTCCCGTTACTAGTAAAATACTGTTCTCTTTGCTATGCTGCATTTGTCGGTAAATGTGGTCAAACACCAACAGCTCACTCCAGCAATTCTGCAGTAAAATCATCTGGTCACTCACCTAAGAAAAAGAGAACATATATAAATAGTGAAATATAACATTAAAAGAGTATAGCTTAAAGACCCATTATCAGTAAAAATGTTGTATTCTGATACCTGTCTGTAGTTAATACAGGAAATGATAGTATTTAGTCCTTTAAATCCATTTCCATATTTTTTATTTATATTTTTCTCCACATTTACATGCAGACCCAACCTGTCTAACAAAAAAGGATAAACTATTATACTGACAATGGCGCCTACCGTCACTTTTTTTACTCATATGGCTTAAACTTATTTACAAAAGAAAAAACAACAACTTTTGCTTAGAAAGTGTTACCTGGAATCAGGGGCATACCTATGATGGTGCATTGTGTGTTCTGCACCGGGTGCCAACACTCTGAGAGGGTTGTGGCCTCCACCACCATTTTTTTGAGTTGCACAGTGCTGCAGTGCCTATGGCATTTGCACTGTCGCGCTGCTTTTGCCTGCCTCACAGTGGCAGATCAGAGCTGAGGGATGCTCCTGCTCAGCCTCGGTCACATTATATAGACAAGGGGAGAACTTCCCATGACTCTGAACTGCAGCTACATCTGTTGAGTAAAGAGAGGGAGGGGGGAAATCTGTACTGTATGGGTGGTTGTGCTGGAAGTAGGGGGGCTTGGAGAAAGGGGTTCTGTGCTGAGAAGAGCCTGGTTGGGCAGGGGATCTGTACTAAGAGGGAAGGCTGGGAGGGGGTGTCTGTACTGGGAAGGCCTG